CCATGGGCTTTTGAACATGTTTACCTGAAGCCTGATATTTGAATCTGCAATGTATAAGATCATTGGTGTCTTTTCTCTCCCTGCAGGCTGCATAGCACCTTCCTGCCCTAGGAAATGTAACCAGCAGGGAGAAATTCTTGTTCAGTTCATGGTTGGTTTCTCTGTTTCCTGCAACTAAAGTCATTAGCTAACAGTGAAATGCAGAATAAAACATCTTTAACGTAACACTTTTACCCCAGTTAGAATAACTATGATCAGGGAAATGAAAGAACAGCAAATGCAGGCATGGATGTGGGGAAGGATAATCCTTATTCATCCTTGATGGGATTGTAAATTAGTGTAGTGACTTTGGAAATAAGTTTGGAGTTTCCACCAAAAAATAATAAATAAAATTATGCCTTGTCCCGGCTATCCCCCAATCATGTTCTTAAATGACTCGACATCTCACTATAGAGACACTTATAAATCCATGTGTGCCACTGCTCTCTTCACAGAAGCTGGGAAATGGAAAAAAACCTTTGTTCCCAACACAGGATAAATAGGTAATGGAAATTTGGGAAATATAAATAATGGAATTTCATTCAGTGGTAAAGGATAAATCATGAAATATAGAGAAAGTGAATGGATCTGGAAAAAATATGCAGATTGAGACCACTCAGGTACAGAAAGACAAATGCTACATATTTTCTATCATGTGTAGTTGTCAATTTGAATATTTAGTTTTGTGGGTTTAATTTGTAGAAATCAAGAGACTAGAAATATGCCATTATGGTCTTGGGAATTAAGGGAGAAGATATATTAAAATTTGGATAAAGGAAAGCATATAGGGTAGATACTGGAGACCTAGATATTCAAACTTGAAGTGGTGTTGGGAAATGTAGAACTGAGGGTTGGAGTCAGGTAAATCAAAATTAGGGTTAAAAAAAGCTTTATTAAAATCTAGGATCTTGCAATATAAGTAATAAATATGACTGCAAAGAACATAGAATACATGTGGCACAGCAAAACAAAGGGCAGGCCTGGGAACCAAGGAAAGTGCACTGTGGAGTAAAGAGATACTAAATTGCAATGTTATTTGTGTAACAAAAAGTCTAGAAATAATGAACAGATCGTAGTTGTCTATTTTTATATTTTGGATTTCACTTGTGTTGATGGAATAATTTTGTGTTCAGGTTATTGTTCGGTTTTATGCATCTGCTGATACAACATTTTTATGAAAAATAATAACTTTAAGAAAAGGGTATGCAAAGCTGGAGAGATAGATAAGAATTGCAGTGTAGTTATTAGTACTGTCTCAGTGGTCTGGTACTGACCATTCTCTATGATCATGTGAGATTATGCTTACAGAAAGCTGAGCAGAAAGTAAATGGATGTGATTTGTATTTTAGTTTAACCTCACAGTCTTTGAAGACAGGATCCTGCATAGGTGGACAGAGCTATTCCCCAAAGAAAGGAGTTATTAATTGTACATCTCAGTTCCAGATACAAGACAACTGCATATTAGTTCCTGTGGCCCCACAGGGGCTGAAAACAGTACGAGATATTGTCATTGCTCTTAGTTGCCCATGATAACTCCATAGTTAGGCCTTGTTTCTAAGAAAGTATTTAAAATATGACTAGACTGTAATAGCCAGAAGTGGGTGTATGTGTAGCTAGAGTTTTCCTGCCTGGACCACAGTCAGGACAAATCTCTGTCACTCGCCAGTCCCACAGCCGCTCAGACCAAACCAAGTAAACATAGAGACTTATATTGCTTACAACCTGTATGGCCATAGCAGGCTTCTTGCTAACTGTTCTTATATCTTAAATTAATCCATTTCTATAAATCTATTCCTTGCCACGTGGCTCGTGACTTACCGGCATCTTCACATGCTGCTTGTCATGGCAGTGGCTGGCAGTGCCTCCCCACTCCTTCCTGTTCTCTCAATTCTCCTCTCTGTTAGTCCCACCTATAGTTCCTGCCTGGTCACTGGCCAATCAGTGTTTTATTTATTGATCAATCAGAGCAATTTGACAGACACAACAGGACTAATGCAAATGTGAATTCAAAGAAACTTTGACAGCATGCACAGCACCTAAACCAAGTCAAACCAGATGGAGGCCCAGTGTGAGAGAGGAACATGAACACAGGCTCTCACCTTTAATCAAGAAGTTTCTACAGTTGACACTCTCTTGCAAAGGAAAATGTTATTAATTAATGGAGTCTGATTTGGTATATTGACCACACTTAAGGGCTAACACGTTCCCAGGTGTAAAAAGCCAGCAGTAAATGAACACAATGGTATTTTATAAGTATTTTCTCTCATATCACATTGTGCATTTTTTGTCTCACTTGCATTTTGCCTATATAAGATGGTTACAAAGTTGTGTTTGGGGGGTTTTGTTTGGGCTTGTGTGTGAGTGTATTCATTGTTCGTTTTTGTTTTGTTTTAATCCCTTTTAATCTTGTTTTTGCCCGTTTTTATTTTCCTACAGAGAAAAGAAATGGTATGGAGTTGGGTAGGAGGGGACATAGGAAGGATCTGAGAGGAGAGGTGGGAAGGGAATCAGTGATCAGAATACATTGCATGACATTTTTCAAGAAAATTGTAGAAAGTAAATGAAAATTGAATAAAATAAATAAGAAACTATAAATCTGTGAAGTGTTTAACAAAAAAATTACTATGTTTGAGCAGGGAAACATCACTTGTTGACCCCAACAGTGCAGAGCAGCTGGTAGACTTTAAGGAAGGAAACCACAGAGGATACAGATTCCCCTCCACACCAACCTCATCTCTCTACTGGGGATTCTTGGCTCTATTGTGCCCCCTGCTGGTCAGGAGCTCCCTGCAGGTTGGTCTGTCACGGCTTGCACTGAAGCTGCACTGTCTCCCTGGAGCAGTAAAAGATCCCTGAGACTTCAGTGCTCACAGATCTCAGCTGCAGGGAGAAATGACTCTTGTTTATCTGGAGTTGCTGACCGGATGAATCAGAGATTGATTTTAAGTTGTTTCTATACTATCATCAATGCCCCTCTCAATGGCAGGCTCCTCCCTGAGGACAGTTGGATCCAGCTTTAGCAGTTCCCACTTGCAGTAAGGTGACAGACAACAAGAGAGAACAGAGCCTTGACTATCTTCATCAGGCTACACCTGGGACAGACCACATGATGTCAGAGAGCCACAGTGAGTCTTAAGTTCAGCCCCAGCCCCACATGTAGCCATGTATGAATTCCTGAGACATGCAGATACAAGAGTCAACAGAAAGGAGGAACCACTGTGGGACTCACAGAAAAGTTAACAATTCCAGAAAAATATATTCACATTGTGAAGGAAGTAGAAATCAAGCAAATATATGCTGTGACTCAATCTGTTTCCCATACTGCGTCTGCATGCATTTAAAGGAATGAGGTGAGAGAGGAGATCTCCTTAGAAAGGATCCTTGTCGGTGATGGATATGTATACTTACACAGCTTTATCTCTCCATGTCTACCTTTATGTACCAGAGTCCTCTTATTTCTGGGCAGGGAATGTGTTAGTTAAGCTATTCAGAAGTTGAACATAGAAGAAGACAGATTTGGAATATGGTCCCAGGAATGAGACAAGCCAATAGCACTATCTAGGGATATGTGTGCATGTGTATTTAAATATCTGAAGTAGAGCCTCAATAAAAAAAATACATACTACATAAATTCAGGCTATTCATGTATATTTTCCTGTAATATCAGGTCATGAATAAGATGAACCCATTGTTGCAGGATAGAAGGATCTGGGACAAGTCTGATGCATGACTTCTCTTCTATCACTGGTTAGAACTGATATGATGTCTTGTGGACTGTCAGTTCACAAGTCAACACCCTCTTCTCCTAATAGAAGAACACTTATCTCTACAATTCAGGATGCTGGATGATTTTTTCTTGGCATTTCAGAATCTCTGTTGGGCTAACTAATGTCTATAAAGCCACATTTCATACTTCAGTACATGGGTCGCTTATGGCTATCATAGGTTACAATGGACAGGGGAGCATGTATACTTAAATAGTATGGAGACATTCTCCTCTTACAATGCAATCCACTCAAAAAATTCTGACCCTGTAAGAATATAAATAGATGCTATGAGCTTATTCTCCTGAATTAAAGTAACATTAGGATTACAATATGGTCAGATCTGATTCAATAAATGTGAAAGTAAGCGGGAGTTTTCCTTAAATACATCATATATAGATTTCTAGCTTTTCTTATAATTCTCCCTTTATGCTGTGGAATATTTTCCCTTCTCCTGTGGCTCGTTCCTGATCATAGACCCCGCCCCAACCGGTTTCTTCTGTAACTGTGCACAATAATGGATGGCAGAGTTCTTAGATGTCAGACTGCTGAGCTCCATGTAGACTGTGTTGAATATTGTGTCTGCATCTAGTTTGGCTCTGTTTTGAAATTTCTGTCTGTAGTTTGTTTGACCAATACTTGGGAGTATCCATTCAATCATTTCTGGCTCAGGTCTAGGTTCTGCCTCACCCAATTCATGTAGTAAATGGTGAAGCTATCTGAGTAAAAGTCCTTGCAGGAAAACTTTATTGAATCACCAGGAATCTTCAGTCTAATTCCAGATGCTACATCTGTGTAGCTGAAGTTTTCCTGATCCTTCCTGGCTCCAGAGGCCCTGCGGCTGCTTGGACCCAAGTAAATACACAGAGGCTTTCATTAATTAAACCTGCTCAGCCATTAGCTCAGGCTAACTATTGACTAGCGCTCACACTTGAATTAACCCATAATTCTTATTTCTGTTTAGCCACGTGGCTTGGTACCTTTTCTCAGTTCTGCCTTGACATCTTGCTTCCTCTGTGTTTGGCTGGCAACTCTTGACTCTGCATTCTCTTCCCAGAATTCTCCTTTCTGTTTGTCCTTCCTATGCTTCCTGCCTGACTACTGGCCAATCAGCATTTTATTTATTAATCAATCAGAGCAACACATTCAAAGCATACATAGCAATATCCACAGCACATCTGAACCTAGGAGTGGACATCACATGTATAAAGATGCCATGATCACTTCAGTCCCTGGCTCCCCATCAGCCCTGCTCCTAGTAATGCACTTATCAGGAGCTGATGCCACCACGTAGAGGATGATCTGGTTCAGTTCACAGTGAGAACCTGTGTGCACTGTGGACAAATGAGAATTAATGTGATACTGTTGGCTGTGTGAATATCACTGGATATATAATCACAAACTCTATAATTTGCAAAATAATGAGGTATAGTATTTCTTAGATCAAGACCTTATCCTTTTTGAGAAAGAACAGGTAGAGTTTTTCTATGTTAGTCAGTTGGAGGGTGAGATTCAAGAATTAAACCTGCCTGTAGATGTGCATTCCCTGCTTCATCCTGGCATCTGTGTGGATAGAGATCTTTCATCCCAGTGAGAATCTAGTCACTTCATCAGAGTTCAAAAAAGTGAACCACACTTCAAGGGTTCTAAGGTCTTGTTTCTCTTCATTGTAATGTACATGATGATGCTGAGTAAATATTTCAAGGATGGGTAATGAGCTGTGATTCAAAGGTTTTCTCCATGAACCACAGTCTTTTCTCCATGGGCTGTTAGATCAAGCTTTAGCAGTGACCACTGGTGATGAAGTGAGTTGCGAGGGACAGCACAAGTGATGGACAGGATCCACAAGTGATATACAATTGAATTTTCCAAATCATCCAGCTTGATGTACTTGAGAGAGAAAACTCACAGCACCAGGAAGAGGAACAAATGTAATACTTACAGAAAAATTCCCACCTACATGAAATATTTTCATATTTGAGAAGTGAACAGAATTTAGGGAAATTTGGACTGTGATTCAAAATAATGTTTTGCTAATTCAGCATTTGTGTCATGGATGAGCTATAAATTTCTATGTAAATACTTAAAAGAGGTTATTAGTCCCTTTGCCATGCATCTTTCTAGGTGGAAAATTCTGTCTGTATCATTAGACTTCTTTCTTCTCTGTTTGAATCCAGATTCCCCAATCACAGCATCATCTTATTTATGTAATGTCATGGTTAATGCTTTATGAAGACTTAAATTTATTTACTATAAGCTTAGTGAATGACAGCTGTGGAGCTGGATAACCCACCTCCAGCTCCAAAGAGTTGGTGGAGCTAATACCAATGTATATGATCCATGTGTACCTGCACAGAAATACATGTGGATGTAGGCACATGTGTTAGCCCCTAAGTATATGCTCCACATCAGGTTGTGTAAGTGTCAGCATGATCAGGAGTAAAGTGCATTTCACTCATGTATAATTTTGTCCTATATGGAAAACTTTTCAGTGTATCATGATGCTTGATTTTCCATTTCTGTATGTAAGTGCTTTAACTACGTTCTATATTCAAGGCCTGTTGTAAAGGGGGCTTGTTGAAGCCAAGCTCACATACACATATGTTGTACCTTTTAGATGCTTTCGTGTGCATGATGTTTCTTCTTATCATTGTTGAAATAGTCTTCTGCTATTGATTCTACCTAAAGAAAGCCTAACATTTACAATACAACCTGAGCCTCTGAATTCTCCCCTAGATGAAAAACTTTGAGGAACTTGAACCTGTTTATAAGGAAAAGTAGCTGGTTAGAGGCCTTTGGTGTAGTGATAAGATTCAATGAGAATTATCTACAAACATTTATATCATATTGATCACAACTCTTCTTCACTATTGGTATATTTTAAATTCATTTAAAAGACTTATTACATTAGAAGAAGAACCTAATTGCTTATTAGCAATGGAATTGCATGCTGAATGTTTTGCACAAGCAATGACATCATTGTTAGCATAGGTTTTCCATTTTAAGATCACTCAGTTCTTCATACTTGTTTGTGCTCATCCTAACAGAATGAATGTTACTTAGTAATAAAGTCCTAGAGCACCACTCTTCTCTAGTCAATATTGTTACTAATTCTGTCTTACTACCCTTACCATCCCTATGTTACAAACAGCCTACATACCCCCCAATTGATAACACTATCTGAAACTTTTTTCAGTATTGTGAAATAATTTGTTTCAGGCCTTCACAATTCCTCATCATTTGCATGGGACCTTGTAAGATACTTTGGTCTTCCCTCTGTCTTTATGTACATCTGTCCAAAGGCCACTGATTGGCATGATCTAACTCACAATCGTGGTCCATTTCTGCAGCAAAAATTTAACAAACCAAGAATCAGTAAAAATTGTAGTTCTGCAATGCCCTGATGATTTTAAATTGGGTACTAAACTATTTCCTTCTAAGATTCTACCCACAGAGAGACCAAATGACATCTATCAAATGGATACTACTAAAATCCCAGAATTTGGTAAGCAAAAATATGTTCATCAGTCTATAGATATTTTCTCAATCATGACATGGGCCACAACTCATCCTGAGGAATCTGCTATTCATGTATATTACAGGTTTGCTTTGCCTTTTATGGGCATCCCTAAGATAATACAAGCCGATAATGCCTTCCATTCATATCTCATAAAATCCAAATGTTTTACAACATTTTACTGTTTCTTACAAAACTGGAACACCAGGATGAACCATTTAGAACACAAACACTGTACTATTAAATTTTAGATTATTACATGGTAATAACCTTAGTCTAGTAGAGATTCCCCCTTCTAATTATTCAAAGGACAAGATACTGTTATCTCCTGTTTGGTAATCCAGGTTAAACTTCAAAGGTTAGAAAATGGGTCATGTTAATGTAGGAGGTATAGGGAAAAATCTATTCTCAGTTATGGACAAAAATCTCAAATTAAGAAAAATAATTTTAAAAGGTACAGGGTAAAGATTTTGTGGCCTTTCAGAATCAGGAAACACAGTCAGCACATGTGGTGGTTTGAAAAAGAATGGCCTCTAGACTATGATAATTAGTCATCAGAGTTTAGTACTCTTTGACAGGATTAGAAGAGTAAGTGTGGTCTTGTTGGAGAAAGTATGTCTTTGGAGGTTGGATTTGAGGATCTAAAACCCTTGAGAGGTCCAGTCTTTCTCTCTCTACCTGTGATCAGGATGTATTTCTCAGCTACTGACCAAATGTCAGGCATGCCACAACGTTCCCTGCCATGATAATAGAATAATCCTCTGAAACTTTAAGCAAGATCCCAGTTGAGTGTCTTCTCTTACAAGGGTGGCCTTGGTCATGGTGTCTCTTGACAGTAATTGAACATTGACTAAGAGTGCATTTAAGTTTAGCACAGCAATAGCCCTACTTCTTAATAATCATTTTCTGTGTTAGTTACTATCTGCATTGCAGGAGCAAACTATAAGACAATAACAACTCCTAGAAGAAAGGATTTATTTTTGTTCATAGTTTGAGGTACAGTCCATCATGTCAGTTAATTCATAGTCAAGACCTTAATGTAGTGAGTCATATTACATCAACATTCAAAGGCAGAAATTGATAAGTGCTTATACTTATGATCTTATCTTATTTGTATTTGGCCCAGGACCAAAACCTATAGGAATAGTGTGGACAGTGCTTAGGGTGGGTCTTCCTAACCCAATTTACCTAGTCTAGAATTTCCTTCACAGAATTGTCCTGAGCCAAAGCCAAATAATCCTTCAAAGGAATGCCCAAGACTCGTTTTGCAGATGATTCTGGGTCCGATTAATTTAACAGTCAATATGAACAAAAACTACAAGATTCAGAAATTGCTTTTTCTTCTTAAGAAAAGTGAAGTGAGACATATGAGTATGTCTGGGAATGGTGACAGATGAAGGAACGCAACTGTTAGAAGTCTAATTGTTCGTATCTGAGCCTGGAATGTACCTCAGGAAGAGGAAGGGACGTTTTAAATTTGATAAGATTCTGGGGTCCAGCAGCTTGGTCAGCCCTCCCTTTTGATTTCAAATCTCAAACTCTGTTCTAGATAGGAACCCCACTGTCATTATTTCCAGAATCACACTGAAGTCTCCATGCTTTCCTGAGTTTTCTTAGGATCTCATATTCCACACTTTACTATATTTTAGCAAAATCAAAAATAATTTTATACAAAAAGGCTTTGAAATATAATATATGCCATAAACATAGAAAGGATTCAAAGAAGAAAAGAAAAAGCCCTGTTAGATAGAAGGGAAGCTGTTGCATCTCTCTATCTGTACCACCACCCTGCTCACATGTCATGACACAGAGATTTATTATTCATTATGAAAGCTTGTCCAATCACTTAGGCTTGTTTCTAACTAGCTCTTATATCTTAAATTAACCTAAATCTTTTAATGCTCTGTGTTCCTGGAATCCCCCCCCCCCCCCCGCTTCTTTCCAGCAGCATCTGAGCTTGGAAGACCTGCTTTCCTATTGGCCATTCAGCTTTTTATTAGAAAAGTCACAGTGACATACTTTTACACAGTGCAATCAAAAATCTCACAACAGGGAGCCAGTAATCCACAGAGGAGACAGTTACTGTGTCTCACCAGCCTGAAGAGTAGGGTTAATGTGCAGGCTCTTGATAATAGAGGTCCAGCAAGGGAAGAACATTCCTGAAACAAGACTCAGTGGCAGGAAGGGAATCATCAGGAAGAAGCAAAACATGGTTCACAGAGACCTGGGCACTGAGAGCTATAGCTCCCTGCTAATCAGGGGATCACCTGCTGGTCTCCACAAAGTGGTATGTGATGTTAGAACAGAACATGGTGAGTCCTTAATCCACAGAATATTTTATTTATCAGACTGATTCCCAGCTTAACTGTGTACTTTTTCATATTCCAAGAGTCTATGACAAGAGATGATTGAAGGAATCAGGGATATGTGAACTGAAAATTTAGCAACTGCCTGATGTTTGCAGAATCTTTCATCCCCATGCCTCCTTCATACTATAAATAGTAATATTGTTTTCCACCTGGTACATCTAACCTCGTGTTCTTGGCTACCTGAGCAGTGTTGGGAATGGGTTCAATCTTATAAAGTCAGCCTGAAATAAAATCATATTTTCATTGGTTATTCCAACCAAAGATACACTGCATACTACCAAAGGAGAAAGGGAAACACCAACCCAGCTACAAACACTTGGACCTACAGTAGTGACCAGCCTGCAAGACACAAATATGTTTTATAATTGTATTTTAAAAACTTATTATTATAACTTGAACTAAAAGCTTCCACTCCCTTATCAAAGAAGCTTTTATAAAAAAGCTTTCAGGTGGAGACTATTACAGAGATCTATATCAGGTAAACATGAAGAGAACAAGTGACCCTGGGATGCCCAAGTACATTTGATACATCTTCAATGTAAACTCTACACATAAGGCTCAGGGAGAATCCTGGAAGAGAGGGAAGAAAGATTGTAGGGTCTCAAGGACAAGGATGTCTCTGTGAGATGGTATTTTCTAGACAGGACAGGGATGCTTCATCCATGAAATCTTGACAATATTGCTTCCTAAACTAGATTTCCAAAGTATACAGGGAAACCTCTCAGGCCCTTACCCCTAAATGAAGAGCTACAAGTAATCAATGACTGCTGAGAGAGGAAGAATCAGTTTCCTTCAAGTACAAGCTCCCTTGTAGGTTATTCAATCCCAATGGTCAGCTCTAAACTCATGTGCTTATACACAACTAACTGGGATCAATAGACTAAATACACACAGAAACATACACACGTAAAATATTAATTAAAGATGAAGCAGTCATGAATTTGAGATAGAGTGAGGGATGGATATGAGGGGAATTTGAGTGGGAATATTGATGGTTATAGCACTCAGGTAAAGAAATTCTTAAAAATATTTTAATTAAACACTTTTAAGCAACAGAAAATCTCTCATACCCAACTCCTAGGTGAGTGGTCTGTGTTCAGTGTTGAACACTGAGTGGGAAGACCTGGGAATCTAGGGCTGAGCTCCTCAGTCTGAGCTGCAGCATCAGGCCTGGGCTGGTTTTCATGAGCACAAGGAGGCCATCTCTACATGTCCCTTTCTTATAATGAACTTGGCTGTTGAAACATTAGGAATATGGATGCCTAGAGCAGATGAAAGAGACAAAACTTAAGTTACAGGGAAATAATTATTTATTTTGTTACATATTCATGATATAATTCCAAGTCTTGTTTTATTATGTTTTTACCACAGACAGCCCTCTGCCTTATGTGCTCCACAGAAGCATTGTAATACATTTTTGATAATTTTACAAGGAGAAACACACTTTATAAATATTGAGTGCAGATATTAAATTGAAGAAATTGGTTTCAAGGATTAGCTTAGTGTAGATTCACAGAAAACAATTGGTGTGTAATACCCAGTATTGGGAAACAAAGCTGCACATATTCTATAGAGTATTATTTTTCTGCAAATAATTTTTAAATATTTGAACTTTGTGTTTTATTATTATATGGTGATATTTTATTTGTACTGAAATGTGATTTTATTTGTATGTTAATAAATAAAGTTGCCTGGGGGTCAGAGCTAATAGCAAGCCATAGCAGAAACTGGATGGTGGTGGTGGTGGTGGTGGTGGTGGTGGTGGTGGTGGTGGTGGTGGTGGTTGCGCACGCCTTTAATCTCAGCACTTCGGAGGCAGAGCTAAGCAGATCTCTGTGTGTTCAAGGATACAGCCAGCATGCAAACACATGCCTTTAATCTCAATACCAACCTTTCAAGACCTAGAGGTCTGTGTAGACAGACAGTAATGTGGAGGTCATGTGGTTGGGTTTACAACCAATGAGAAGGCAGAACAGAAAGTCAATAAAAGGACAGATACACAGGAAGTAGGTCTTTTTGCTGAGGGCAAGGACAGCAGCCGCAGTGAAGGGTAAGAAAGGGTTTTTAGCTCTTATCTATTGCTCTGACCTCTTGGGCTTTTAACTCTGCAATTGGCTCTGTGTTTCTTATTTAATAAGACTGTTCATCTACATTATTAGTCTTGTGTGGGCTTTCTTTCATGAAGCTTTTTTCTATATCAGGTCACTCATTTCAAATATGCTCAAGTAATAAATTAACATGTCTGTGAGTACATAGAGAAATCTAGGGCCTCCATTCTAGCATCTTGCTCTGATGTCCTTCCCTGTCTCCAGTCTGCCCCTCCTCAGCACATGACACTCTATACTGACTGGGGGTGAATTCAGCATGAAGAGCCTTAAAATTGCCTCTCCATGGAACAAGGTTCTCAGGTACTAGGGTTCCAATTGAGGAATTCATTCTACTATGAGATAAATTGTCTTTATGGTGACTTAATTGGGCTTTCAAATTGAGTTCTTTTTGTTTCTGTAATATTCCCAGGAGAGTGACATAGATTTGAGGAACTAACTGCAGTGATCTCTGTCAGATCTTGTGTCCTTCAAGGCAAGGGTTCTAACTGACATAGGACATGGTTTCCTGGACTTGTATGTGGTTAACTGAGAGGAATAAACTCTGGGTAGAATCAAGAAACACCCTTGTTGGCCCCTGCCTGCACCTGCTCCCCAGGCTCTGCACAACTGGTTTATTTAATTTGCTTCATTTTTGCTGTCTCATAGCAATAAGTTTTAGCAATGTTATTGATTATGTGAACTTGTTGTCATTTGTAAACCATAATATAGAGTAGTGGATTGTGTATGTCTGAGTTTACCTTGATGGAACATAGTCTCCATTAGATTAATCTCAGTCCCATGTAGTTATGCACAGTGTCTCAGAAATACCACCCTATCAACTCTGTGTTATTGTGATACATCAGGGCAGCCATAAGATGGAGTTCTGTGGAGGATGGAAGCTTTGGCTGTTTTAGAGAAATCCATCCTGTTCATAGAGAAGTCACCCTGAGAAACTTGCATTGGTCCAGACTGTTCAAGTCTAACAGCAATCCAATATTCATACCACTCTTAATATTTCTGTTGATAGTTCCCCAAATTCAAAGTGAGAAGAATTCCTCTTTCTTTCAATCCTGACTCTGTGGTTTATATTTGAAGTCCCTGATGCTGTTGACACCTTGTACATTGCACAAAGGACATCTGGAGGATATCATACATTAGAGAATAAGAAATTCCTGTCCACAATACCTGGTGAGGAAAATCTTCCTGAGTATCATGTGACCTGTTGGAAAAGGCCCAGAGTAAGTTAAGGAAGGATTATGATGAACTGTGAGAATAAATTCCAGGAGGAAAATAAATGTACCAGCATGAAAATAAACACCCCAATCGGCTCTCAGCCTGAGGCGCTCACATGTGTGAGAAGAACCAGGACAAACTGGAAACAAATTATTGAACTTTGTCACTGGGTCTTGTTTACACAACTTTCTGACTTTGATCTGATTCAAAAGTGTGTTTAAAACACAGAATCCCATTGTGTGATGGAAATTTTCAAAACGTAACCATTCTATCAATGGCAGAGACATTTCTGTTCCTGAAAGTGACATTATGCATTTGTGTAACATGAATATGAGTTTTCCTAATTAAGAACAACAAAAACAAAAACACATACTGGTATACAGAGACAGAAGTGATTAGACACAGACTCCACAAACATAACAGAGCCAAAAATCAAGAGGTCCTAAGTGGCCTTGCTGGATCTAAGAACAGATAAAATGTATGTGTGTGTGTATGTGGAGGGGGTGTCCTGTGCCATACAGTGATGTCTCTTCCCTGTGTCTTACCATAATGCAAAGCTGTAACCTGTGCCATCAAAGATATAAAACTCAGGAATAACTGGTCCTTAACTGTGTTTCTGGAAGTGGAAATGAGGCTGATAAAGGATGGGTTTTATTTTGTGACTCCACAATAATTTCATTTCCCAGCAGTGTACCCCCTTTTCCAAAGCTTGGAAAATTCAGTGTCAATAAATTTCAGCTTGTGATAGAATATTCAGTCATAGACAGCTCATGTGAGGACAGATCCTATGATGTATTTATGAGACCAGATCCAGGTACCTATAGCCCTTGATAGTCACCACACTCGAAACTTATCAAGAACCAATGGTCAATAGACAGGACCCCAACCTTGGGAAGCTGAAACAGAAAGAAAGGCAGAGCCAGCAGTATTATTGTCTTAGGGTTTCTATTGCTGTGAAGAGACATGATGTGTGGTGATATTTTAATTGTGCTGAAATATGATTTTATTTGTATATTAATGAATAAAGTTTGCCTGCAGATCAGGGGTCATAACAAGCCATAAAACAGAAGTCAGGCAGTGGTAGCACATGCCTTTAATCCAATCACATGGCAGGAAGAGTCTCTGTGTGGTCAAGGACACAGCCAAGTGTGGTGACACTATGCCTTTAATCCCAGTACCAACCATAGAGACCTAGAGGTCTGTATAGACAGGCAGTGATGAGGAAGTGATGTGCCTGGGCTTAGAGCCAATGAGAAGGCAGAACAGGAAGGCAATAAAAGCTCAGTTTAGACAGGAAGAAGCTCTCTCTGGGAAAGCTACAGCGTGGTGGTAAGTTAAGGCAAGTTATGGCTATTTGCTATTTCTCTGATCTCTTAGGCTATTACCTCTGTATTTGGCTCTGTGTTTCTTATTTAATAAGACTGTTTAGAAATTCTTCTACAATGATGACCATGGAAACTCTAATATTGAAAATTGTTTATTTGTGGTTAGCTTTTATTTTAAGAGGTTTAATCTTTTCTCATCATCAAATAGAAATGGTCCTAGAGAAGGAGCTGAGAGTTCCGTATCTTGATCTGCAGACAACAGAAAATTAATTGTGACACTGGTCATATCTTAAGCATTGGAGAGCTCAAAATCCTTGCGCATGGTGACATATTTCCTCCAAGAATGCCACACAAACTACAACACAGCTATACCTCCTAATAGTACCACTTCCTTTTGGGGCCATTTTCTTTCAAACCATCACAACAATCTTCTAGACCAATCCTTTCCTTCTCCAGATGCCTCAGGCCTGTGTGAGAAGAGACTTGTGTACTCCCCTCCACTGAAGAGGCAAATTTTTCCCTAGAGATCAGAAGAATGATTGAGTTTTGAGACCTCTGTATTTACAGGCGGAGATGCCAGAGCTCAGGTTCTTCTGGTCTTCCATAAGATCTGCTAGAAATTTCTTCTTAATCTCACATAGAGTATAAATCTGTGATGGGTTATCATATGCCCAATGTAAAATACCTTGTTTAGTAAGAGATAATGCTGCTAATAACCAGATAACTAAATGAAAGACTCAAAAGGAGATAATTTTTATAGCACATAGTAAGTTTGTTATTTTGTAAAAGAAAACAAGAAAATGAAATTACATTTCTTCCTTGAATTCCCAATACAAACTACTTAAAATACATTTTTTAGGGAATACTGTGATTTAAATAACACCTCTAGGTGGTAACTATACAAAATTAGCTCTCATAGGCTTGGAATCAAATTATAATGAATCATTTGCTTCTTCTGGGCAGAAGGCAAAGTATAATAAATTTTCTACAGTATATCTCAGTCTTAGGGATACCCTTTTCAATCTTTCAGACTTTCAGGACTGTCTTTGGAGATCTCTCCCATACGTGCTATGAGGTTCCTGAGTAATTTAATATGGCTTGCCCAACAGATGTTAGAGAAATACTTGAATCACGTTCTCATAGCCACTTGACAGATGCCTTCCCAGTACATTGGAGAGTCCCATTCAATACAGAGGACTGAAGTGGAAGATTCCCCTGCCTCATGGTCAATCCCTGCTTTCCTGTTGGAGGAAGACAGGAGTATATATTACAAAATTACTGGTTTTTCATACAGTATTTTACACTCAATATAGATTTACATAATCTTCAACATATAATTGTTATGGGATTAATGCCTGCCACAATGTATTCCCCACATGGTTGCATACATATTAAGCAAATGGCATTAATGTTTATCATGGAGGAATGTTTGCTAGAGGAGAATGAAAAGTTATTGTTCTGAGCTAAAGAGTCTTCTTATTGAATCAAACCCTTGAGATTACCAAGTACCCAAGGTCTCCAATGCTGGTTGTTATTCACACTATATTCAAAACCCCATGCTTTATAGAAGTATGACTACCAGCTACCCAAAGTACTGTATGAGAGATGATGCTGTATCAGTGTAGGTCCATGTTCTGTAAGGACTTTAGAGTGTAGGTCAGAGTACTGAGACTGGGAAGGCACCAAATATGAGACTAGAGAATATTGCATAATGCATAATTTCAGAACTATTAACAATTAACATGTACATGCATTGTATCAACCCATGAGTTCTGTGAAAATGTTTTAATAATACATTTATCCAGCTTACAGAAAATGTGCTTTTGTGGTAATACATTTTGATAAAAATATCTCTTATCCTTGAAGAGACTGAAAATTTTGCTGGACCACACAGCCAGAGTGAATGATACTCTTTGGAATTATTCAGAATGTGATATTACTGTGTACTCAGTCTGTTTAACCTGACTTTAATAGAACATTGTAACACCCAACCTTACTTGCCTAAGATTTCCCATATAACCAGCTTTTACACAATGAGATAATGCATAGCTCTAACCTTATTTTGTGTGCTCTTCCATGCTCCTGAATCAAGACTGATGCATATGATTGTATGTATGCTATAATAACCATTTGCTGAAAACATAAACTATAGTTTTCAATAAATTTTGTAAAACAAGTATCCAGAATAGCTGAAAATAATATGCAGATATTGTTTGAATAAAAAGATGTTTGTAGTACTGTTTATTATTTGAGTCAGCTGAAAAAGTTATTAATCCCTAGTAAAATTCTGTTAAAGATTTATGTCTAATATCCCTGATTCTTTTCTGATGTGATGTATTCCGTACTGTTCAATAAATAAAGAGTAAAGATCTTTGTTAAGGACAGACACAGACAGAGACAGAGACAAAGAAGTGGGCTCAGGGAGACAGAGAAAGAGGTGCAGAGGAGGAGATGGAGATAGAAAGAGAAATTCAGATGCCCACAAGACGGACAACAGAAGACAACACAGGAAGACTCAACTAGGCCATTCAAAACTGGGCTTGCTCTTGATTAAGTGATGTCAAGGAGAAGTTCTTTGATTGATCTCCTTATTGTGATGTGGAAACAATACTGATGAATCTGAGTTTGGTGTCAATGTGTCAAAGAAACTACAAAACTTACATAAACGAATTGGAGCCAGAATGTATTTAAGATGAAGTCATCAAGTATTGACTGTTACTAAGAACCAGCCATGTTATACTGACCATGAGACTCATGCAGAATCTTGAGGGGAAAAATGACGATAAGTTGTGCTGCTCTATGGGACCAGATATATTAAAACATTTAATCCTGTGGAACCAGCTTAGGCTAGTTGGTTAGTCTCACCAAAGGAAAAGGAAGTCTCAGAAAATAATGTCTTCCTACCAAATCTCTTGCGTCTTCTCTGCAAGGACATATTCTCTGCATATGTCCCTTCAGGATGTTAAGATAATAATGATTTTTACCCACAAAAGTCTTAAAGAAGTTTCTCAGGTAGGACAATTACAGACTGTGTTTTCAGTCACTAGAGAAGTATGAAGAATCCTGCCCATGAACACCACCCCCACATTCTCCACACAGAAAGTCCTCAAAAATAATGTTACAGAAAATGTGGTTGAGAGTCATTTCCCTACAGAAATAATAGATGTTTTGGCAAATATGTATGAAATGATACCTTAGCCTGACAAGCCCTTATGAAAACAGCTCTCACTATCCCATCAGTTTAGTCTGTGGCTTCAGAAATGAATGAAAGAATGCCTGTCCACTGCTGGTCATAACCAAAGGCAGGGACCTGTATAAACATTGCTTGTCAAATTATCACACAAGGAAACTTCCAAACAGTGGCCCACCAGCTTGCCAGCCCTCAAGTGGTTCACAGCCAAAGCAGCCAAGCTGCTAAAAGGATTTGGAACAAAGTTCCTCATATTAACACTCCACAGACATCTTTCCCACTATAGACAGAAACCTACTGAGCCCTTTATGAATTTGTCCAACATATCCAACAAGCTATTGAGTGGCAGGCAGATAATAAAGGAGCTGCTTCCACCTTGTCTCATACATCTGCTCATTAAAATTAACTGTAAAAAGCTTAATTGTGCAGTTGCTAATAACTCTCACATAATTGCTAATTTTATAAAAGCAGGTCAAAATGATTGCCCAGAGGAACATGAGGCTCAGATTCTGGTTGTGTCCTTGTGGCCTCCTATATGTTTCAAATGGGAAAGGAACAGACCATTTACAAAACTAATATAAACTAAAACTTGTTAATCATCCTCAGGGTAGTAAACCTCCCTCTAAAACACCTTCACAGTGTAAGATTCATTTTCACTGGTCCAGTCTGTGTGGATAGTGGTGACAAAGATAATCCAATTTCAGGAAACAGGGGAATGAGCACCCAGGGCTGCTGATGACAGGATCAGGTCTCTACATTCCCAGCTTGGAATCCCACTGCTCTTTCCCCAGTGCTATCTGAGCAGGAGCCCAGCTTGTTGTCAAAGTAGCAGACTCCACACCCTGGGGACTCCACAATGACACTCAGCTCCATCCCTAATCCTAAAACAATAAAGATTTTAATACTACTTCCAAAAGCAATTCATGATCAGATGTATCAACAACTAAAGACATAAAATTAGATTTCATAGGAGAGATTAAAACACCTACTCCAAAATCTATGGGGATCCCTTCCAACAAACTGCCTTTGCTGGTTTTAGGGAAACCAAATTGGACTATGAAAGGGGCTTAGTTTGCACACATGCTGTTATTTTGTCTTTTACTTGCCTAATTCATATTGTAGCGTATTCTCAGCTACTCCAGCAACAGTTCCAGTCCCCTAGATTTAAGAGATATTCATATCATAATATATTGCCACAGTTTGTCCTATTTTAGTTTATTAAAAAGTAATCATGTGAATGGAGGTTGGTCAAAGTATGGTGTACTCTAGGGGCATCCTGAATCACCATCACTTTTTTCCCAGCATTTTCCCTTTTGAAAAGTTGACAAAGATTCTATAAGACTGTGAAATGACAGACAAATGGACACTCAGAATGATTATTTTTGAGCAAGTCTCCAGGCTAATCTTCTCTGTCATCTCAGTTCCAGGGCAGCTTCTTGCTCCCCCAGGGTTTCTGACACACTCAGGATGTGGGTTGTAACACTGTGTTTCTTGCACAGTAATAGACCGCAGAGTCCTCAGAGGTCAGGCTGCTGAGATCCATGTAGGCTGTGCTGGAGGATTTGTCTGCAGTCAGTTTGGCCTTGCCTTGGAACTTCTGATTGTACTTAGTATCACCATCTCCAGGATAAATCCATCCAATCCACTCCAGACTCTGTCCAGGCCTCTGCTTCACCCAGTGCATAAAGTAGCTAGTGAAGGTGTAGCCAGAAGCCTTGCAGGACAACTTCACTGAGGAACCAGGTTTCCCAAGCTTAGCCCCAGACTGCTGCAGCTGGACCTGGGAGTGGACACCTGTGGAGAGAAAGACAGAGTGGATGTCAGTGTCACCTCAGTCCCTGTTCCTTCTTCAGGTTTGGAACTGGAAAGCCCCTTACCTGTAGTTACTGACATGAAGAAGAGGATGATCCAGCTCCATCCCATGGTGAGGACCTATGTGCTCAGTGACTGTGGAGAGGACACTGACCATACGTTGTTCTGGGATGTGGACATCTCTGTATTTACCACTATAGACTCATGTAATTTGCATATTCATGAGCAGGGTACTTCTTAGATAAGTGCTTAGTCCAGCTGGAGAAGAAGTAGTTAGAGGACACTTGGGTCAGGCAGCAGGATGCTGAGTTCCAAGTCCTAATCCTCTCTGAGGAAATGCATCCCATACCCTTGCCCTCAGCCCTGTGCAGATGCTGTGGGTGTAACATTAGGGCCTAAGCTCTCAATATATTTCAGGCCTGTGGAAGTTGCTCCACTTTGTGACAAGATTAAGAATGTGGTTGTGATGGTGATGGTGGTGACTGGAAATTCCAAAATCTGCTAAATTAAGAGAATTTGAAACTTCCTTTTAGATACATTCAATTACTATTTGCCATTCCTAAAGTTCACATAGAAATATCTCAAGGAAATGACCTAAAGAGAACATACCTCAGAAATATTTGTACATTGATATTTATTACAACATTATTACGATAACTTATGAAAATAAACTTCCAAGCCAAGGACTTTCGAACATGTCTACCTGGGATGCAGTCTTTCCTGTGGAACAGGCAATGAATTCAATTAGAAAGCAGTTGGTCACCGCATACCATTCAGGCACTAGTGGGTGCATTTTTCTGGGAGGCTGGTACTATAGACAGTAAGGTCTTGTATAGTGTAAGATCATGGATGACTTTTCTCCCCCTGAAGGCTAAATAGCACTTTCCTGCACTAGGAAACCTAGGCAGCAGGGAGAATTTCCAATTCAGTTTATGGTTGGTTTCTCTATGGTCTGCAAATAGAGTCCTTAGCTCACAGTGAAGTGCAGATAAAAACAACTTTAATGTTCCATTTTTACATTAGGAAGAATGATTATAAACAAGAAAATAAATGATAAAAAATACATGCTTGGATGTGGAAAAAGGATGATCCTCATTCACTGTTAATGAGAGTGTATACTAGTGCCCCAACTTGGAAATTTCATCAAAAATGTTAAGTAAAACTATACTGTACCCTTGCATTATCCCTCCAAGAATGTACTGTAATGCTTCTACATCCAAATATAGAGACACTTGCACATCCATGTTTATTGCCACTCTATTCACAGGAGCTGGGAAATGGAATCAACCTAGATTCCCAACAAAGGACAAATAGATAATGAAAATGTGGAACATATAGACATGAACTCTATAAGTAAGTGGATGGAATTGGAAAAACATGTGCTAAGTGAGGTCACCAAGGTCTATGAAAAAAAATGCTTCATGTTCTCACTCATACGTTTCTCCCAGATTTGAATATTTGCTTTGTGGGTTTAATTTGTGAAGCAAAGTCACTAAAATTAGGTCATTGTGGTCTAAGGAATTAAGGGAGAGAGTCTAATAAAATGAAACCAGAAGGAGGATACTGGAGAAAGAAAGGTTCAAACACAGAGTGGTATTTGAAATTGAGAGATCAGGCATGGTGTAAAGCAAACCAAAATGAGGGATGATAAGAAAGCTATGTGTGAATGCAGGATCTTACAGAATAAGTTAAAAAATAAAGCTTTAGAGGACATGGAACATGTGTGGTGTGAGAAAACAAAAGCAGAACAGTGGGAGTAAAGGAAAGTGCACTCTGGAGTAAAGAGAAACAGAAATTACACTTGTTATTTCTATAACAAAACATAGGAAAATAATGAACAATTCATGGTGGCCTAGTTCTAAATTTGCAATTTTCTTTGGATTGACATTTTGTGTGTGTGTGATCAGATTATGGTATGGTTTTATGGATCTGATGATACAATATTTTATTAAAAATAATAAATTTAAGAAAACTCTAAGCAAAGCTGGCTATAGCTAGAGGAGACTTGTAGTTTAGCTGTTAGCATTGTCTCAGTGCTCTCATTCTCATCATGATCGGTGGTTATCTGAGTTATTGCAGAAAGCTGAGTAGAAAGCTCATGGATAAGCTTTGTATTTTTTTTTAACCTGTGAGCCTTTGAACAGAGGTACCTGCACGGGTGACCAGTGCTGTTTCCCAAAATCATGACTTATCAATTGAATATCACAGTGCCAGGTACATGATAACGCTTTATGAGTTAATGGTCAGAGAGGCCCTACAGGTGCTGAAATCAGTGTGAGGTGTTGACATTTCTCTCAGTTGCTCACAATAACTCAATAGTTAGAATTTTCTCTGGGAAAAATTAAAAACCCAGTAGATTGTAGGAGCCAGAACAGGTGGATGACTTAGGAAACTATCCTCCAGACATATCAGGACTGATGCACATATGGACCTACAGAGACTGTTACAGCAGGCGCAACGCCTGCACGGATCCAGTCCAGATGGGGTTCCAGTGTTGAGAGAGACACAGACACGGGATCTCAACCCAAAGCAAGACATGTCAGCCATTGATATTTGCAAACGAAGAATTAGTTTTCTCTAATGGAGTCTCATTGGGTACATTAACCACACTTAAGGGTGGATGCAGGCCCAGCAGTAGATGATCAACACAGAATGACCTTAATGGTATTTTTATAGATATTTTCTATCTTATCACTTCTTTGTGCATTTCTTTTTGTCTAAATTGTCTTTTGCCTGTATACCATGGTCCCAGAATTGTGTTCTTGTGTGTTTCGTTGTTTTCATATGCTTGTTTGTCTATTTTTAAGCCTTTTAAAATCATTTGTTTTATTTTATTTTGTTTTGTCTATGTGTTTGCTTTCTACAGAGAGAAAGAAATGGTGAGGACCTGGGTGGTGGAGAAGCAGGAAGGATCTAGGACAGGTTGGAAGAAGGAAATCAGTAATTAAAATATATTGTTTGAAAATTTATTTTCAAAAAATATTATAAAAAATAAATTAAAACTGAGTAAAATAAACAAGAAAATTTAAACCTGTGAAATGTATAACAAAGAATCTTTGTTTTGAGCATGGACACATCACTTGTCACTCACAGCAGGTGCAGGTGAGCTAAAAAAAACTTTAAGAAAGGAAACCACAGAGGATACAGAGTTCCCACACACACACCAACCTCATCTCTCTACTGGGGATTCTTGGCTCCATTGTGCCCCCTGCTGGTCAGGAGCTCCCCTGCAGGTTGGTCTGTCATGGCTTACACTGAAGTCGCACTGTCTCCCTGGAGCAGTAACACATCCCTGAAACTTCAGCGCTCACAGAGCTCAGTTGCTGGGAGAAATGGCTCTTGTTTATCAGGAGATGCTGACTGGATGTTTCAGAGACTGTTTTGAAATTGTGCCTACGTGATCATCAATGTCCCTCTCAATCCCAGGCTCCTCTCTGGTGGATCCAGTTCCAGCAGTTCCCACTTGTACTAAGGTGACAAGAGGAGAGAATGGGGTCTTTGCAGCCTTCATCTGGCTACAACTGGGTCAGAGCACCTGAACTCAGAAAAGCACAGTGAATCTTGAACTCAGATGCAGCCCCCCCCCCCATTTATCCATCTATGAATTCCGGAGACACTCAAATACAGGAATCAACAGAAAGAGGAGGCACCATTGTAGTAATCACAGACCAGTTAACACCTCAAGAGACATATATTCACATAGAGGAGATAAAAGTCAAGCCAGTTTAAACTGTGACTCAATATATTTCCCATACTGCATTTGCATTAATTAAGGGAATGAAAGGAGAGAGAAGATATCTCTGACAAGGATCCTCATGGGTAGAGGTTCTGTCTCCTTAGACAGCTTTATCTCTCTGTCTGCCTCTCCAAGTTCAGGATCCTCTTATTCCTCGACAGAGAATGTGTTAGTAAAGCTTTTTAGGAGCTAAATGTTTTCACAATGAAGGATAAATTTGAAAGGTGTTTACAAGAATGAGAAAAGTCAAGAGCGCTACACAGAATTTTGTAAGTATGTCTGTTTAGATGTCTGAAATGTAACTCCACATATTAACACAAAAATTCATGCTACAAAAAGCCAATTTATTCCTGTATGTTCTTTTCTAACTCAGGATTATGCATCAGTTGTGTCTAATATTATGGGACAGAGGAGCAGCTGGAACCAGACAGTTGCATGGCTTCTCTTCTACTACTGCTCAGAAATGGTTTGATGTCCTGGGGACTTCAGTTCACAGAGCAGCACCATCAGGGCAATATGCTGTTTTAGAGGAACACTTACATATCCTAGTCAGGGTGCCAGGTATCTTGGCATTGCAGCTTCTTCTGCTCTGGTTTGGGTAGTGTCTATAATAATGATTCACTTCATAGTCCATTGTGGTGCAATGCTGATGTTATCATGGGTGGATAGGAGTATTTGCCTGCTTGAAGGGTATGGGTTCATGGAGAAATTCTCCTCTTACAATGGAAATAAAGGTTTCAGAGTTGTATTGTGAACTCTCCAACCTGGTAGTACTTGTACATGTCAGGAACATAAATAAATATGTTTTGTCTATCTGAAATGTTCTTAGGTATTGAGTAAACATAAATACAAAACTGTTTTGGGGGAGATTCCAGTTTGTTTTATTTAAATTTTCTTTATTAAAAATTGTTTCTAAATAATATATTCTGATCATATAATTCCCCTCTGCCACCTATCAATATAACTCTGCAACCTTTATTTCTCTCACTCTTAAACAAACAAACAAAAAAATAAGAAACTATCTACCTATCTACCTACCAATATATCTATTTCCTAAACACACACAGTCACAAGAACATGAAATCAGAAACCAAAGTACACACAGCTCAAAAATACTAATGAAACAACAAAAAAGACTAACAAAGTTATATAAGACAAAAACTGTGTAAACTGTTATTGTGTTAGTTTTCTTTTGTCTAAGTCCTGGGCACGGGGCTTACCATGAAGGTAGTTAATATAGCCAGTGACACTCCATTGAATAAGACTAATTTTTCTCCTTTGCTAGTGGGTACAAATTGCAGATAACTTTTGGATAGTAGTGGGAGCCCTTATACATTTCTACCTCTCAGCATTGGGTCCCTTCTGGCTTGGACAT